TGTGGAAAGCGAGTCCCGGTATGTGAGGTGAGAGGAAAGAAAGAAAAAAATCGGAGCTGGACTCGGAATGGAATGTATAATATAACGTAAGAGCGAGAAAAAAATGTCAATAACAATAAACACGAACAGAAAATATATGACGGCAAAAAAAATGTCAATAGCAGCAACCACGAACAGAAAAATATATGAAGGCAAAAATGTCAATAACAGCGAACACGAACAGAAAAATATATGGAGAGCAAAAAAAAATGTCCGAAAATCTCACAAACCGGAAAGTGGCTCGATGAAAAAAAATGAAGTCCAAAAATGGAAAAATGGGGAAAAAGAGCTCGATGCCTCTCGAAGGCTAAAATCTGAGTGCCTCTCCTCTCGTTCCTCTAGGAGCTCCCGGACCCATCCTTGGTTCCTTTTCCACTTTTCGTCGGCCAACCCCCAAAGTTGGCCCATTGGTGGATCTGGGTCAGAGAAGGGGATGCTGCGATAGGGTGTTGCAACTTGTTGCGGCTTTGTCGCTGGTCAAGCAAGGTAGCCCCTGGTCAGTTTGGCTGATTTGGGGGCCCCGCGAGAGCGCTGTTCCTGGTTGGACACTCTTGGCTGACTCTTGTGGCCCCCGCATTTTGCCGAGAGCCTAAAGCCCCCTGTGGTTCTGGAGCGTGAACCTTCGGTAAAGCGGGCGGTGATAATGGCTCCATAAAAAAAAGTCACCGGTCGAGATTCAGGCCCCGGCCTTTGTGTGGAGCTCGGCCGGGTTGCCTGGCTGCGCCTGTCGGTGGGGGGAGGGAAGACAGGGGTAGTTTGACTTGCGCCAGTGACTGCATGTCTCCCTCCCTCGCGCACGATCAGGCCGCCGCTATCTCTCTTCTCCGCTGAAAATAAGGCTAGGTGGTGTTGTGGCTCCTGCCTTGTTGCCCTCCAAGCCGCAACGTTGCCATTTATCCCATATCACCACACCCCTCCCCCCCCAACTTTCGGCGCAGGCCGAAGAGAAGTGTGATGGCGGGCTGCTTCCTCTAGTGGGAATATTGAAGCTTTGAGCTTTGACAATTGAATACTTTGTTGAATTTTGAATTGTATTGGGAATAAGTTTAAATTGAAGGTTCCAAGTTTTGAAGGTCACATTGAGAATGAATTTTAAATTGAAAGTTAAAAGTTAAAATACAACAAAGAAATTAAATTTTTGATTTTCATCGAGAATAATTTTAAATTGAAAGTTAAGAGACTATTCATAATAAAATTTAAATTGAAAGTTCAAGTTCGGCTTACATGGAAATACATAATACATGACATTAAAATACAACAAGTTAAATTCTGAATTTCATCGAGAATGATTTGAAATTGTGAAAGCTACATTGACAATACATTCCGAATCCAAAATTACCTTTTGTTAACTGGTTATCATACTTATTAAGAACTTTTATAATTCTTAAAATACACTTATTTGAAGAAGTCTAACATTATAAGATATATCGATTCTTTCTAAAATCCCGTAATGGACCGGGTAGCTGAAGCTATTTGCATTTAAACTTAACTGTAAATTCTTAAATCTTCTTAGTTTAATATTTTCAGTAAATTAACGCAATCCTTAAATTTTTATTTAGTAAATTCCAAGTTTGGATAAGGTCTCCCCTTTAAATGCTGCCCTTTTCTAAGTTGTATTAAAATTCTAAAATAATCCCTTAATTTTATCTTAACTTGAGTAATTGAACGCAATTCTTAATATAACCTTAACCGACACCCATCCTATCCGAAATTATATTTACGACAATAAAAAAATCATAATGTCCTTAAATTGTTTAAATTTATTAATTTTTGAATGTACCCAGCCTTTGAATTGAGTGTAGTTGAGAAATTTTGTATTCTTAATATAATCTTAACTTAACATATTTGCAATAGTAATAATCATCAATATAATCTTAACTTAAGAATCCATATTTGCAATAATAATAACCATCAATATAATCTTAACCTAAGAATCCATATTTTGCAATAGTAATAACCATCAATATAATCTTAACTTAAGAATCCATATTTGCAATAATAATAACCATCATATCCTAAAAAAAAATGGAGGAATTTCCTGGAAAATAATTATCTTGAATTTAATAATTCGAGTAACTGAATGCAAGTCTTAATATATACATATATATAATCTTAACTTAAGAATCCATATTTTTACATTACACTTATATTAATCGGAATCATGCTTAAAATCGTATTCGACCGCGTATCTTCACGCGCCTTCAAAATTGCATTCGTTGAATAACTTTACATGCAGGTTAAATGGAGGAGGAATTTCCTGGAAAATAATCCCCTTTCTAGGCACTTTCTTTCGAGTGGGATGTGCATTTGGCAACCGAGGGATTTGAGACCCTAGACTAGATCGCGGTCTTTGTTCTTCCTCATTCGCCGGGGGTATGGCGAGTTACGGAATTCGGTGGTTTCTGTCTCCATCTCACCTTCCGCGTTCCCTTCGTCATTTTCCCCCCCGCTCGTGCTATTTACCTCTGTGCTTGTTTGACTTTCCGGGCTCCTAACTCTTAATTTTCCCAACGGCACTTGTTGGTAAATTACCTCTGGTTTTGGTACTCCTTTTATCATGCACTTACCAATAACTTCCTTCGTTCCCTTTATTATTGCTTTTCGGCTAAAGTACGTAACAAGTGCAAACAATAGAAGCGAAAATAATGATATGTATGCTACGTGGCGATTGTCCTGGCTTGTTTGGAGTCTGTCGATTTCCGCCGCGTCTAACAAATTTTTGATTTCGCTGATTTTCCTTCCCGTCTCGACCAGTTCGTGTAGGTGCATATTCATCGGCAGCAGATGGGGGGTAATATTTATTTCTGCTGGTTTTACCTTTGCCATTGTCTCTTCAACAAGTATGGGTAATGATATTGAGTTCATCGGGATAACTGGCGCTTGGCTGTCGATAAACGACTTATAATTTCCCACCCCCCTAAGCTGCGCACTGTCCGATATGTACATACATCCTCCTTTCAGGCTAAGAAATCCCCTTCCGCTCAATGGGACTTTTACGGCGTTGCCTGTTGTGAGTGTCCCGTCCCTGCACGTTATTATTCCTGACTCGGAGTCAGGGATTACGAATAGCCAGAGGTTTGTTGTTGGAGTTTTTATCCAGAGGGGCCTTTTTAACTCGATGACTCTTAAGTCGCACTCTGATCCGATTGACATTCTGTTTTTAAAAATTCCTATCGTACAACTTTCTGTGTGGCTGTGGAAATCGTGGATTATCGAACCTGCTGGGCATACGCGTCCTGTGCTGACTCTTTTGCATAAATTTTGTTGTTGTCTAGAAAAGAGAACATAATGTAAATCCTGATTGGAGAGACCTACGAAGTCGCTATCCGGTTTTATGAAAATGTATGTACCATTGTTATAAGGCGAAGAGTACGGGAACGGCGTTACTTCGTTCATCGTGTACGTTTCGGAGTCCACTAGTGGAATTTTGATTATTAAAGTTAGGTTTCCTCCGACTGTGAATGCCGATACGTCCACGATGTCGTAGAAATAATGGAAGCCTGAATATGTAGGTTCGATCGGAAAAGCCAATCCAGCCGGAAGTTTTATTTTCCGGAGTTCTGGTATCAATTTTTCGGGTGACAAAACTAGGGGGTTTATCCTTCCTTGCCGTGCGTCCTCGAACGTTTTCAATATCAACTGCATGTTATCCTTTGCCGAGGTTATTAATTCAGTAAGAATGTTGCGTGCCTCTGTTTCTGTGCGAATAACGTGCAGCTGATCGACAACGTTCGCGACGTCATGGTTTAGTCCCCTTTCTACTGCGGTGATGTTGCCTATGGTTTCTTCTAATCTTACTCTGTTTTCCTCCCAATTTACTAATGTACCGTTTAAGGTATGTACTGTAGCAGACATCAGTGTCGTTTGCTGTGCTGCCAGACTATAAATATCGTGGGTTCCTTCGCTAATTTCTCGTAGCTTTTGCTCGAAGTATTCCCCGTCGGCCGCGTCTAAGTTTCCGGAAATAAGTTTTACAGCCGTCCCTAATGAGTTGAAGATCCCTTTTCTTACCCTTTTTACCCTTTTTGTTGCCACCTCTTTCTTCCCCGTGTAATTTGTTTCCATGGAGTATTCTACCCAGTCACTTTCTCGTTTCTTCCCACCTATCTGTATTTCAGGGCTTGTTACCAGTGACATTAATCTTTGCAACCACCTTCCCCCCTCTACGACAGCATTCCTTTTTTCTCTCAGTTCGGCCTTACCATCGCCTGACAGTAATGCCTTAAGTGTTTTTAATCCAACGTGCAGCTTCAATATTTCAGTTCCTACATTACTTAAGTCTGTGTCTGAGACACTGGAAGACTCGTACTTGTTCCTTATTCCAGCCAAGGATTGAAACAGACTTTTCGCTTTGTCCGCTTGGTCGTAGAGGTGCTCTGTGGAAACCTCGGAGATTAGCGTCCAATGGTCCTGT